GGATGCTATCATTACAAAACCTAAAATTTCCACACTAAGAGTGTCAGCTTCATACAGTTAACCATAAATCCCATTGTTCCCTTATGTCTTCATTCATTTTCTTATTCCAAGGGGGCCAGGTCAGGCACATTTATAATTAACAAAGAAGATAGTTAAGGGATACATCACTTCTGGTTTTGCCCACATGTACAACAGCAGCATGCGTTCTGAATTTTAGATGCTGTATTTAAATGGAAAGGCTGCTGTTTTCAGAGGTGGAAATCAACATCATGGCCTAAAAGGATCTTGACATAATCTAGTCATTACAATTTGTGGTCAAAGACCAAAAAAGAAAAGAAAAACCAATACAATTCAGTAAATGCAATGGGGAGCTAGCATGTTAGAAGGAGAAAAGTTAATCGTTAAATGTTGGTGGCCTTCTAGCCCAGTTATAATTAATTTCCCAGCATATTCTAATAGCAATTTAAATTTATCAAAATGAAACAAAGTTCACTGAAATATTGGTTGATTGATCCATTTATAAAATGTGCATTTCAGGCCAGCCCATTCATTTAATAAGGAAGGCAAGCATTAATTCATAGTACCAAGTATGGTATAAAGGGTAGTTCAGCAACACTTATAAAATTGTCCTGATGGCCACATTCAAACAGGACAGAAGTGTTCTGAGTAACATCCCTTTTAATAATATCCCCTTCCAAACATGCAGGAGTAAAAAAAACATAGAGCTTGCTAGTGTAAGTGCCTTCCTGTGCAGAACAGAGAGAGTGTAAGAATTCCAATTACCGGTATGTCTTGATAAAAATCTGCTGCAAAGGCCCCCATCACAATGGGTTGAAACTTTGAGTATGCAGATCCATATCAAGGATCCTTTGTTTGACCTCTAGCATGGTTTTCTCTAATCCAAGCATAAGTAGTGAATGAGCTGAGAAGCTTGAGTTAAAAAAAACAACAACCAAGGATACATTTTCTTCTAAGAAGAGGCAAAAAAGAAATTTAATTTTAGGTAATATTCAAATTTTCCATAGTGTCATAGCCCATGTTCAGCCAAAGAAATATGTTTGGCCAGGATTAATGTACATAAAGCATTCTGATGCATTTTGACTGAATTACTTCTATAGTCTTTACAACTATGTGTACTAATTTACTTCGATCTGCAAAAGCAATTCCTAGACCAACAATGGCCTCAGTAGGTTGATATTTTTCTCTCAGCTTCAAAATGTCAGCATAATGACCTAAATTGCATAAATTTGAGGTGTGTAAGTCCATGGTTATCTAAGTTTTTGAGTAGTCAGAAACAGGAGAGGTTAATGAGACCAGGGCAAGACTGTAAGTTCAGGAAATGATTTAATTTATATTTAAATGAGAACGAAAGAAAAAAATGGATTTGCTTAACAACCATGTGATTCACTTAGTCGCGGTGACTCACTGTACAACTATCATAAAAACGGTCATAAGAATCGAGTCTGGTCATGTGCCTCGACTTAAGACCAAAATTTCAATCACAATTGTAATCATAATTCAAGCACCTTTTATTATAAAGCTTCTGGTTCTCTTAAGATCATTTATATTTTACTATTGTAATGTTCATATTTCTTAGAATTAAGACTCATCAGGTAAGATATCTTTTAACTGCTTGTAAGCCATCTAGTGTAACATATGTAAAATGGGCAGCTGTATAAAATTATTTATAAAAAAAAATATGTTTAAAGGTCAGGAAAAAAAAAAGATCTCAGAAACAAGTCTGTACTGCTTAGTTGGAGTGAGGGCAAGGCCTGAGACTTGCAGTTTGGTCTTAACAGGTACAGGATATAGTTAGATTCAGGACTTCCAAAGATTTCCTTTTTAGTCTCAAGAAAATTGGATCCCATAAAAATTCTAGAGAAAATCTTAGAGAATAAAATGGTGTGCAATTGTACCTTTGTTTGCAAATATGACATTGTATGTATGTGTGTGTGTGTGTGTGTGTGTATGTGTGTGTGTGTGTGTGTGTTTCTTTTAGCCAGATTTTTCCTATGTAACCAAGATTTTACTACAGCCCTAGCCCTGGCTTTTTTCTTCTGGCAGCCAGCAGCTGCCCAGAATCGAGTGGATGTGACTCCACTGAGCTAGGGCTGTAGAAAAATCTTGGTTACGTAGGAAAAACCTGGCTAAAAGAAAAACACACATAAAACCTACGAAAAGTATATATATATAATGTGTGTGTGTGTGTGTGTGTGTGTGTATATATATATATATATATATATAATGTCATATATATACACACACATACATATATACATAAATACATAAATATAAATGTCTCATATATATATATATATACACATATACATTTATACATACATATATATACAGTATAATAAGTAGAGATTGTGCAAAGCATTCTGGAAGGCTAAAGGATGTAAGGGACTTATCTCACTAGGTATATATGGTGACATTTTATGGGTATTCCTAGTATGTTTTCAAAAATTCCAAATTGACCAAAGGGACTGGTCTTTAATGGCATTTAACCTCTTCTGTAATATGAAAGATCTGTAGATGAAAATACGTGCTACTGAAAAATAACATTCTTGGGTTACAATGACAATTGGGACTGGGATTGCATCGTTAAGCAACGTGATTGTAAAGGGCAATGTCACGTGACTGCATCACTTGGCAATGGCAATTCTGGGCAGTTTTGGTTGCTGTTGTAATCCCAACACATGCGGGTCATTAAGTGGGACGAGACGGAAGTCCTAGGTAAATAGCATGGGGTGCTTTAGGGGGGTGGAGACTGGGGAGGACCTGGGAAGGCCAGTGGAGAAGCATGGGCAGGATAGGCAGGTACTACAAATGGGAAAAAAAAGCAAGACCAACTTACTGGAGTCACTTGTGGCCTTTTCTACTGGCTATCCTGTTGAATTTGCTTGTGGGATGCCAGCAAGGAAGGCCACAAAGGGCGATCACATAACCGTAGCTCCCTGCAACATTGTAATTGTAAACTAGATTGTGATCATGACCACTGAGGTTCTATGGTGGCCGGAACTCTGAGGACCAGTTCTATGTCCACTGTTTCAGTGCTGCTATAGCTTTAAACGGGCGCTGAATAAATGCACATAAACTGAGGACTATCTGTAAATTGAGGGCACTTGTTAAAATATGTCAGGAACTATTATAGAGGGGTCCTCTGCTGTGGTTGTAAATAGTAATGAAACTAATATCATAAAAAAAGAAGAAATAGACCTCAATAGGAGCCAACAAGCAGCAAGGAGTTTGTTTGCTTATTTATGTTATCTATTGGCAGCACCTTTCGCTTTGAATAGATTGCTACTGATGTCTAGGATATCTTCAGGATGACAGTAATCATTTCCTATAATTGGATGCTTTGCTATTCATCTTGCGATTACGATTTGGTCAGCAGTAGTAAAGCTCAGATGGCTGGCTCCCATGCTAGCAGCATACCATTGTTTACTTCATATGAGTGGATCAGTTGAAAGAGGTCCAGCCCACAATATAGCCAGCATCATGTTGTGGTTAATGTGTTGGACAGAACTGGGGGGAGGGGTGCAAGTCTACAATGCTAGAGGTCAATGAGTGATATCGGCAGGGGTGAAATCCAACAGGTTCTGACAGGTTCTGGAGAACCGGTAGCGGAAATTTTGAGCAGTTCAAAGAACTGGTAGCGGAAATTTTGAGTAGTTTGCAGAACTGGCAAATACCACCTCTGGCTGGCTCCAGAGTGTGGTGGGAATGGGGATTTTGCAGTATCCTTCCCCTAGAGTGGGGTGGGAATGGAGATTTTGCAGTATCCTTCCCCTGGAGTGGGGTGGGAATGGAGATTTTGCTGTATCCTTCCCAAGCCACGCCCACCAAGCCATACCACGCCCACCAAGCCATGCCCACAGAACCAGTAGTAAAAAAAAAATAGTAAAAAAATTTGGATTTCAGCACTGGATATTGGGCCAGTGTTTTCTCTCTCAACCTAACTACCTCCAGATTTGTTG